TCAGAATAATCTCTCAACCCCTTTTCTCCTTGTGTAGCTTTATCCTGTCACTCAATGCATCAGCAGCAATACAGCTTTGAACTGACCACCGCTGGAGCAGACTGGAACTCAAACCAGACTGAGTCAGACATGCACTATCAGAGCTCTCAGCTCTCACTCTAGATCGGGTCCCAAATGGCACCCTATTCCGTATATAGTGCACTACCTTTGGTCAAAAAGTAGTGCACTATATAGGGAATAGGGTGCCATTTGAGACGGAGCCTAGAGGCATCAGGCTACGAGACTGAGATGTAGCCACAACTAGGATTACCTTGACAACACCCTTTCCTCTTAGCAGCCTAGGTATTTGTATTGCAGTGAGTAAGTAAGGAGGCCAAACAGGCATAATAGCCAGCGTGGTTGGTAGGGCTGCTATAGATTTAGTCAGGGTTACTTTCTCGAAAGTCTGACATGATTCCAAAATAATGGACAATCTTTTTTTGACTGTCTATCACATAATGTACGGTCATTTAACAGGCATTTGTGCTGGACTGCATTGTGTAAACTGTAGCAATCCGCCTGGGTTGTGGGTTCGATTCCCACGGGGACCAGTACGAAAAAGTAAGAAAATGTATGCACTCACTAATGTTGCTCTGGATAAGAGCGTCTGACAGTCTGGTTCAGCTGTTGCTCAGGGTTGGCTCGTTAATACTGGAGACTGTCTCCTTCTGCAGCTATACAGGAGGGGATGATGTCACTCGCGACGATCACTGCAGGAGCAAAATCAATTTGAGAAAGATTACAGTGACATAACTAAGGGGGACAGCCCAGACTGGCTTTATTGTACCTCTGTCCCCTTTTAGAGGACAGTGAACAAAGACTACCCTAGTTGGTTTATAATAGACCCAGACCAGGGAACTGCAGGCTTTTGTACTGGGAAGAAGAGGACAGCCAAGCTTCTAATTCTTGAGTAAAGGTAATCTGAGGGTCAAATTAAGTTGTGATTCTTTCAAATTTGAAACTCTTTCAGAAAGCTATTTTTACTCCAAAACACGAAACCCAATGGAGAGACTCAGAAAGACTTGAAGATTGGTTGGACCTATGTTCTATTGTCCTCACACAAACGTCCATGATGTCAAATATAATCATCTGATGGTGATTAAAGAACCCCAGCTTGACTCTGGCCGGATTTCCCTTGATATTATTCACAAACAATCACTGAGTATTTCATAGATTCTGACATATCCTGGAGTGCATTGTACAAATTAGGTAAATCAATGTGTCTGAGTGGCAAAAGTTGATCCCCCGGGCCCTTCACCACTCAATCTAAATTTATACATGGCCATGCGTCCCACAGCTTCCACCAGGTGGTTCTATTGTAAATGAGGTAACCTTTACATGGGTCGTGACTACCTGGACAAGTTGAAAAGTCGGAAATCCCACTTATTTCTTCAATTTCTCTTCTTAAAAGCTGATTACTGATTTTAAACCTTACCCTGACCTTAACCTTAATCCTAACATTAACCACACTGTTAACCTTATGCCTACCCATAACCTTTAATTAAGACCAAAAAGCACATTTTATTTTCATACATTTTTACGATATTGCCGATTTGACTTTGCAGCTTGGTCATCTAGTGAGAACCCTTTACGCATCACTGTGTCCACATACGTTAGCATCCAAGATTGACAGCAGCAGTGTAGAGCTCAACACACCTACCTACCTGAACACTTGATTGAGAATTCTACCAAATGTATTTCTTTATCTCCATTAAGAGTTATTGGGCTTGTTGTTAGACCCCTGTCAAGAAACATGTGCACAGTTCACACACGTTTCTTTACGTGATATACAGTACCAGTCAAAAGTTTGGACACACCTACTCATTCAAGGGTTTTTCTTTATTTTTACTATTTTTACATTGTAGAATAATAGTGAAGACATGAAACTATGAAATAACACATATGGAATCATGTAGTAACCAAAAAAGTGTTAAACAAATCAAAATACAGTGGGGAAAAAAAGTATTTAGTCAGCCACCAATTGTGCAAGTTCTCCCACTTAAAAAGATGAGAGAGGCCTGTAATTTTCATCATAGGTACACGTCAACTATGACAGACAAAATGAGAAAAAATAATCCAGAAAATCACATTGTAGGATTTTTTATGAATTTATTTGCAAATTATGGTGGAAAATAAGTATTTGGTCAATAACAAAAAGTTTCTCAATAATTTGTTATATACCCTTTGTTGGCAATGACACAGGTCAAACGTTTTCTGTAAGTCTTCACAAGGTTTTCACACACTGTTGCTGGTATTTTGGCCCATTCCTCCATGCAGATCTCCTCTAGAGCAGTGATGTTTTGGGGCTGTCGCTGGGCAACACGGACTTTCAACTCCCTCCAAAGATTTTCTATGGGGTTGAGATCTGGAGACTGGCTAGGCCACTCCAGGACCTTGAAATGCTTCTTACGAAGCCACTCTTTCGTTGCCCGGGCGGTGTGTTTGGGATAATTGTCATGCTGAAAGACCCAGCCACGTTTCATCTTCAATGCCCTTGCTGATGGAAGGAGGTTTTCACTCAAAATCTCACGATACATGGGCCCATTCATTCTTTCCTTTACACGGATCAGTCGTCCTGGTCCCTTGCTTCACAGTAGGTAACCCCATGCTTCACAGTAGGTATGGTGTTCTTTGGATGCAACTCAGCATTCTTTGTCCTCCAAACACGACGAGTAGAGTTTTTACCAAAAAGTTCTATTTTGGTTTCATCTGACCATATGACATTCTCCCAATCCTCTTCTGGATCATCCAAATGCACTCTAGCAAACTTCAGACGGGCCTGGACATGTACTGGCTTAAGCAGGGGGACACGTCTTGCACTGCAGGATTTGAGTCCCTGGCGGCGTAGTGTGTTACTGATGGTAGGCTTTGTTACTTTGGTCCCAGCTCTCTGCAGGTCATTCACTAGGTCCCCCCGTGTGGTTCTGGGATTTTTGATCACCGTTCTTGTGATCATTTTGACCCCACGGGGTGAGATCTTGCGTGGAGCCCCAGATCGAGGGAGATTATCAGTGGTCTTGTATGTCTTCCATTTCCTAATAATTGCTCCCACAGTTGATTTCTTCAAACCAAGCTGCTTACCTATTGCAGATTCAGTCTTCCCAGCCTGGTGCAGGTCTACAATTTTGTTTCTGGTGTCCTTTGACAGCTCTTTGGTCTTGACCATAGTGGAGTTTGGAGTGTGACTGTTTGAGGTTGTGGACAGGTGTCTTTTATACTGATAACAAGTTCAAACAGGTGCCATTAATGCAGGTAACGAGTGGAGGACAGAGGAGCCTCTTAAAGAAGAAGTTACAGGTCTGTGAGAGCCAGAAATCTTGCTTGTTTGTAGGTGACCAAATACTTATTTTCCACCATAATTTGCAAATAAATTCATTAAAAATCCTACAATGTGATTTTCTGGATTTTTTTTTCCTCAATTTGTCTGTCATATTTGACGTGTCAATATGAAATTACAGGCCTCTCTCATCTTTTTAATGGGTCGTGACTACCGACAAGGCTCCCACTTATTTCCTCATTCTCTCTTAAAAGCTGATTACTGATTTTAAACCTTACCCTGACCTTAACCTAATCCTACATTAACCACACTGTTAACCTTATGCCTACCCATACCTTAATTAGACCAAAAAGCACATTTTATTTTCATACATTTTTACGATATTGCCGATTTGACTTTGCAGCTTGGCCATCTAGTGAGAACCCTTTGCACATCACTGTGTCCACATACGTTAGCATCAAAGATTGACAGCAGCAGTGTAGAGCTCAACACACCTACCTACCTGAACACTTGATTGAGAATTCTACCAAATGTATTTCTTTATCTCCATTAAGAGTTATTGGGCTTGTTGTTAGACCCCTGTCAAGAAACATGTGCACAGTTCACACACGTTTCTTTACGTGATATACAGTACCAGTCAAAAGTTTGGATTATATTTGAGATTCTTCAAATAGCCACCCTTTGCCTTGTTGACAGCTTTGCACAACCTTGGCATAATTTCTCTAAATGTCCCCCTTTGATTCACGTTTCTTTAAGTGATATACAAGTTGATAAAATACTTTCCAATTCTTCACCTTATCTTTCTACCTTCCTCTACAGATTAATGATATATCTCTGGGGCTCTTTCTCAATTCATAGTTCCTCTCTTCAGCAGCCTCCACTGTTCTCCAGCTGTCTGAGCATGACTCAGAGGAATCATTTACATTTACATTTGAGTCATTTAGCAGACGCTCTTATCCAGAGCGACTTACAGTTAGTGCATACATTACTAATTTTTTTTCATACCCCCCCGTGGGAATCGAACCCACAACCCTGGCGTTGCAAACGCCATGCTCTACGAACTCAAAAGGTTTTGGCCACCAATGAATGAATGGTCATATGGTATGTCACTCTGACTCCACATATATTTTTTTTTATTGTCTTACGTAAGGAAAACACCGAAACAATGTTTGAAACATTGAAACAGATGTCCAGTAAATCAAGATTTTTAAGGAACGCAAATTATGGAGAACGATGAGGACTTGGAGGATAATGGGCAGAGACCAGATAAAAGCAAAAGAAGGCTGATATTTTCCTTCTTCCAGCAGAGTGATGGAGAACCCTGGGCGTTGAGTAACAGATGGTGGTTCAGAGTGATGGAGAGCCCTGGGTGTCCTGTAACAGGTGGTGGTTCAGAGTGATGGAGAACCCTGGGTGTCCTGTAACAGGTGGTGGTTCAGAGTGATGGAGAGCCCTGGGTGTCCTGTAACAGATGGTGGTTCAGAGTGATGGAGAGCCCTGGGTGTCCTGTAACAGGTGGTGGTTCAGAGTGATGGAGAGCCCTGGGTGTCCTGTAACAGGTGGTGGTTCAGAGTGATGGAGAGCCCTGGGTGTCCTGTAACAGGTGGTGGTTCAGAGTGATGGAGAGCCCTGGGTGTCCTGTAACAGGTGGTGGGGAGGATAATCCAGGTAAAGTCTTTAATGCATGGAATGGAGGAACTGGAAGGGCAAGGGAGGGGCAGAAGCCAATGGGGGCGGAGTAATGGCGTGCACAACAGGGAGGGCTAATTGTGGCCCCCTAATCCTTCCCTGGCCCCCACCTCCTCCTCCCGAGGGAGAGCTGCTGAGGGAGGCCAAGCAGGAGATGACTCCAACCGGCTCTGGACGCTTCAAACGGACGTAAAGGGGACCAAGGATCTATCTGTAGGCCTATTTACAGAGTACCTGCCTGGACAACACTGTGCTCACCTCTGAAGATTCACCAAAGAATGAGGATTTGTCTCTTACCTTTCCTCTTTCCTGCCTTCTGAAGCACATCATTCAACATGGGAGAAGTTCAAAAGGTAATCCCACTTGCTACCTTCTGCTGATCTTTGAGTTTGATGGGAATGCACATCTTGATGAGTCCTAAAGCGTGTTTCAGGGACAGATTGTTTTCCCTTTTCAATAAGAAGCTAACTGATGAGTTGACACTCAGCTAATAAACTACATAGTAGTCCCTTACAATCTTCCTAATTGCTTTCTGTGTCTGTTTGTAATATCCTGTTCTATCTCGTTTCTCTCAGGGGTTCTTTTCGGTCCTGCAGAAATTAAAGGGAACCACAGAACAGGAACTTCGGATAGTCCTCCTGGGTCTAGACAACGCTGGCAAGACAACACTGCTAAAACAGCTATCATCCGAGGATGTCAACACCATTACTCCCACACAGGTCAGATCCGATCCTGACCTGCTCTAAACTTACATAAGCAGGCCATGTAGTTTTGTAATGACAACCCTGTGACACTTCCTTCCTCAGGTTGTTGCCCAAGGCTTCCACGTGATGGCACTTACTCAATGGAAGCATTTCTTTACCTGCTGATTCAAAATCTGATCTCTGATCATATCAATGTCTTAGATGACTCTACCAGGGTCAGGTCACTCCAGGTCAAACGCTAGGGGGTTCTGGAAGTAGTATCCTCCAATGTGGACTTTAACACATCGAATAAGACGGTCATGTGTCTCTAAAACACCACAGTAGTGATGCTTGACTTGTTCTTCTTTATACCATGTTATCTGGTAGCAAAGCATCACAGCCGGTTGGTTTGTGCAGTCCCTCTGTCGCAGAAAATAGCACATTGACAATGATACATTTAGCTAGACTAAGAATAGATGCTGAGACTTTAATCCGGGGGTTGAAGATTACTTAACCATAAAGTCAGAGAGGGTGCGACACACATCTTGTAAGGTCCAGGTAAGAAATCGAGGGTCAAGGTTTATGTCATTGTACCTGTCTATCTGGTCATGTCAGGATTTGTTTCTAATAAAATAACATTATAAATAAATGCTTATTTAGAGCCACTAGTAACAGATTAAGGCTGTGTTCTGCTAAACTGTGTTACCTCAATGAATTCTGCTTCTCCATTGATCCAAAAGGGCTTCAACATTAAGAGTCTCACATCTCACGGAATGAAACTGAATGTGTGGGACATCGGAGGACAGAGGAAGATCCGGCCCTTCTGGAAGAAATATCTGGAAAACACAGATTTGTTGGTGTGTAAATTATGTTTGCCCTTTTCTCATTTCATTTTGTCATATTATATCTATAATCTGTTTCAGAGAGTAAAATAGATTCCATTTACTACAGTTTAGATTTATACTACATCCTGTTCTATTGGTTGAGGAAAAAACTGGCCATTAGTTTACTTCAGAATCTTCAATCTCAATAAAAGCTAGAAACCGAATAGAGAATCGATCTTATTAGTGTTACAAGATGATAAATGTCCCCCTTTGATTCAATATTTATTTTTTCTCTTTCCTCCAGATATATGTCATAGACAGTACAGACAAGAAGCGGTTTGAAGAAACAGGACTGGTGAGGCCAACTGAAATAGCTGTTATACTCTGTTCCAAGTGTTGTCTTGTAAAACGTTAACATTAACAGTAAGCTTAGCATATTAACAGTGGACATGCAAACCTTTAAGTGCTGACAACACAGAGATGTAGTCCCCAAGACTCTGTTAGTCTCTGAGTTAGATAACACTGCTGGTCCTTTGATCCCTCAGGAGCTATCAGAGCTGATTGATGAGGAGAACCTGAAGGGGGTTCCGGTGCTCATCTTTGCCAACAAGCAGGACCTGGCCACGGCCTCGCCCGCCAGCGAGATCGCAGAGGGCCTGAACCTGCACACATACCGCGACCGGGCGTGGCAGATCCAGGCCTGCTCAGCTGTCTCTGGAGAGGGTGTACAGGTAGGCCACAACATCTCTCTCAAAATAGGACAAATCATATCAGTTTTATGAAGTTAGATGGACACCATATCACAATATAAAATAACAACAGTACTGTACCATCCTCTAGGATTTACAAGACAGATATTAAAGGCATCATCCAGTGTCAGTTCAGTGGGTGTTCATGTTCTATTCCTCTCCATGTGGTACAGGAGGGGGAGTGCAACCTGTCTGCACTGCAGAAAAGATCCTCTTCTCACGCTGTTCATGTAGTAAAATAATTGAGAGCCCACAGGGGAATCAGAAGTTATTCTCTGCTGGCAACCATGTCATTAGTAGGATCTTTTCAGAACATAGTAGGATTAGTAGGATCTTTTCCTAATCTTTTCAGATCGTTTCACATACTGTGTAGCAGATTCTGTCATTACAGTTTCCAGTAGGGTTGTCAGGGCAACATCTCAGTAGGGGGGAAATTAAGAGCGAAAACCAACTAGTGGGGGGCCGACAAATGTTTTGCCTCATTGTCATGACACAACACGGATGCCGTGTAAAGCTCCAGATTATGGTCTGCCCCTGAGGTCAGGAGGTCAGGCCTGATGTCCTGTTACATACGTAACACAGTACTGTATGCATTTACAACCGGTGTATGCTTTGATTGCTTTGTAATTTTTGTAGCTTGGAATATTTAATGTGTATATGTGATGTATTTGTTCTCACAGGACGGCATGAACTGGATTTCCAACAACATTGTGAATAAGAAGAAAGATGACTAGCCCCTGAATATCCAACTTTTAAACACACTTTTGAATTTCTCACGACACCTCTGTACATACAGTACCATTCAAAAGTTTGGACACACCTACTCGTTCAAGGATTTTTCTTTATTTTTACTATTTTCTACATTGTAGAATAATAGTGAAGACATCAAAACTAGGAAATAACACATATGGAATCATGTAGTAACCAAAAAAGTGTTAAACAAATCAAAATATATTTGAGATGTGAACTTCTTAAAAGTAGCCACCCTTTGCCTTGATGACAGCTTTGCACACTCTTGGCATTCTCTCAACCAGCTTCATGAGGTAGTCACCTGGAATGCATTTCAATTAACAGGTGTGCCTTGTCAAAAGTTAATTTGTGGAATTTCTTTCCTGCTTAATGCGTTTGAGCCAATCAGTTGTGTTGGGACAAGGTAGGGAGAAGATAGCCCTATTAGGTAAAAGACCAAGTCCATATTATGGTAAGAACAGCTCAAATAAGTAAAGAGAAACGACAGTCTATCATTACTTTAAGACATGAAGGTCAGTCAATCCAGAAAAAATTCAAGAACTTCGAAAGTTTCTTCAAGTGCAGTCGCAAAAACCATCAAGGGCTATGATGAAACTGGCTCTCATGAGGACCGCCACAAGAAAGGAAGACCCAGAGTTAGCTCTGCTGCAGAGGATAAATTTATTAGATTTAACTGCACCTCAGATTGCAGCCCAAATAAATGCTTCACAGAGTTCAGGTAACAGACACATCTCAACATCAACTGTTCAGGGGAGATTGTGTGAATCAGGCCTTCATGGTTTGTTTATCACTTTTTTGGTTACTACATGATTCCATATGTGTTATTTCATAGTTTTGGTGTCTTCACTATTATTGTACAATGTAGAAAATAGTCAAAATAAAGTAAAACCCTTGAATGAGTAGGTGTGTCCAAACTTTTGACTGGTACTGTATGTTGATACCCAATGCAATGGTGACAGGTTTTATTGATGAAGCCTTCTCTCTGAAGATGTCCCAAAACATTTGAGAGGTTGCTGGCTTCTCAAATCCAGCCACAAGAAAATGGATGGAAGGATGGGTTCACATCAGAGACCATCAACAAGAGAAAAATCACAACTCCCATTAAGGGTTATTGCCGCTGCTCTGGAATGATACTTTCTTTGATTTAGTCTATGGAAGAAAAAACTATCCTGGAAGAGCACAAGTAAAAACAAAGGTCAGAGCATTTAATGGGCAAATAGCCAAACAATGTTTTGAATAGAATATCTCTCTTTAGTTTAAGGCATCATTCATACAGTCACAAAAAAGGTAGATTGTGTAGTTTGTGTGGTTTCACTGTTTGTATAAAAATAAAAAATAAAAATAAATTTAAAAAACTATATTGTGTGAATTGAGACTGTGCTATCAAATAAATATTGAATTGGAAGAATCTCCTCATACTTGATGTGATATGCTTGGTTTGTGCCATCAACATAGACAAGCACCATTCCATCCTCTGTCACCGGTTGCCTTGTTGTCTTGCCTTGTTGTCAGACAGTAAGTCAGTGCTGCCCCACAGTGGGCACTGTCATCATTACACTTGAGGCAGGAATGGTAAACACACAAAAAAAACTATTTGGTCTGTGTCAAATTCATTGTAAGTTCCTAAAGACTATTCCGTCAAATGTAGGTCACACACACAATGAGGGCTCAGTGAACAACTGAAAGAGTAGTATCCGTGTCTCTATAGATTCTACGGACCTTGAAGCCAGTTCCACTGCTTTTTTTTCATTATTCCCTCTTAACAGGGACTGATTTAGACCTGGGACAGCAGTTAGGTGAAATTAATTATTAGGAACAGAAAACCAGCAGTACTCTGGACCTCGTAGGGTAAGATTTGAATACCCCTAGACTATGGTGTCGACTCAGGTTCTGTGTCAGCTGGATCATGTTTTTATTATCAGGGATAATGTGAGGAGCACACTCTGACCAGTGACCACCACTCACTAAAATATCCTGTGATCTAAGGTGGGTGGTACAACCACCGTCAGAACCCAGTCTTCCACCAGCAAAGGAAGCTCTGCCTTGAATAAAGAGACATTAGCAATTAGAAAACAGTTTCTTATAGCATCATTCAGGAGTGAGTTAGCTGATATCTGGAGGTAGTTCTGGAATTCCAATAGCAGGTAAGACATTATGATGCCACGAGGATTTGTTCTGTCAGTTAGTCTCATGTTATTACTGTTTAACTCCTGTACAACTAATGTTCTATATACATTGTACCCTACGTGACATTAGACAGAATGGCTTGGCTGTGACCAGTCTACTTGCCATATCTCTCTGGATGTTTACTTGTTGCTATACTGGATTGTTATGTAGTAACAAGATTATAACATAAGAACAACACATGCTTACAGAGACTGTTTCTGCCTGCCATACTCTCTGATGGCAGGGTGTAATCCCCTAACTCTCTGATTGCAGGGTGTAATCATACTAGTCTCTGATGGCAGGGTGTAATCATACTAGTCTCTGATGGCAGGGTGTAATCCCAATATTATCTGATGGCAGGGTGTAATCATACTAGTCTTTGATGGCAGGGTGTAATCCCCTAACTCTCTGATGGCAGGGTGTAACCATACTAGTCTTTGATGGCAGGGTGTAATCCCCTAACTCTCTGATGGCAGGGTGTAATCATACTAGTCTTTGATGGCAGGGTGTAATCCCCTAACTCTCTGATGGCAGGGTGTAACCATACTAGTCTTTGATGGCAGGGTGTAATCCCCTAACTCTCTGATGGCAGGGTGTAATCATACTAGTCTTTGATGGCAGGGTGTAATCCCCTAACTCTCTGATGGCAGGGTGTAATCATACTAGTCTTTGATGGCAGGGTGTAATCCCCTAACTCTCTGATGGCAGGGTGTAATCATACTAGTCTCTGATGGCAGGGTGTAATCATACTAGTCTCTGATGGCAGGGTGCAATCATACTAGCCTCTGATGGCAGGGTGTAATCCCAATATTCTCTGATGGCAGGGTGTAATCCCACTATTCTCTGATGGCAGGGTGTAATCCCACTATTCTCTGATGGCAGGGTGTAATCATACTAGTCTCTGATGGCAGGGTGTAATCAACTATCTCTGATGGCAGGGTGAATCATACTAGTCTCTGATGGCAGGGTGTAATCCCACTACTCTCTGATGGCAGGGTGTAATCATACTAGTCTCTGATGGCAGGGTGTAATCATACTAGTCTCTGATGGCAGGGTGTAATCATACTAGTCTCTGATGGCAGGGTGTAATCATACTAGTCTCTGATGGCAGGGTGTAATCCCAATATTCTCTGATGGCAGGGTGTAATCCCACTACTCTCTGATGGCAGGGTGTAATCATACTAGTCTCTGATGGCAGGGTGTAATCATACTAGTCTCTGATGGCAGGGTGTAATCATACTAGTCTCTGATGGCAGGGTGTAATCACACTAGTCTCTGATGGCAGGGTGTAATCATACTAGTCTCTGATGGCAGGGTGTAATCATACTGGTCTCTGACGGCAGGGTGTAATCCCACTGGTATCTGATGGCAGGGTGTAATCATACTAGTCTCTGATGGCAGGGTGTAATCATACTGGTATCTGATGCAGGGTGTAATCCCACTAGTCTCTGATGGCAGGGTGTAATCATACTGGTCTCTGATGGCAGGGTGTAATCCTACTAGTCTCTGATGGCAGGGTGTAATCATACTGGTCTCTGGTGGCAGGGTGTAATCATACTGGTATCTGATGGCAGGGTGTAATCATACTGGTCTCTGATGGCAGGGTGTAATCATACTGGTATCTGATGGCAGGGTGTAATCATACTGGTCTCTGATGGCAGGGTGTAATCATACTGGTCTCTGATGGCAGGGTGTAATCATACTGGTCTCTGATGGCAGGGTGTAATCATACTGGTATCTGATGGCAGGGTGTAATCATACTGGTCTCTGATGGCAGGGTGTAATCATACTGGTATCTGATGGCAGGGTGTAATCATACTGGTCTCTGATGGCAGGGTGTAATCCTACTGGTCTCTGATGGCAGGGTGTAATCTTATTGACAGGGACGATGCAGGCACCAGACTGTGACCTGGCCAAGCAGAGGAAACAGCTGGTCCAGGAACTGTGCATGGAGACACAAGGAGGTATGGCAACCACCACAGTCCACCGAGGGAGTCACGACTCACGACGGGCTATTGAAAAAGAAAGCCACATTGCATTGCATTTCATTGGAGAATTCCATTATCTTTGGGTTCCCTTTCAAATCCTATTTGATCCAGAAAAGTTAATATATTCTAGCTCAACAGGGCAAACAGCATTCCCTCTGAGCTCAACTGTGAGGGTCGTGAATGATCAGGGAGTGAGGGGAGTGAAGGGAGCGAGGACCCAAGTAATGTATATCACTCCAGGGGAGGAATATCATTATGCCGAGGCGAGGGGTGACTCATAGCAGCAGGATGGGGCAGAACCATGAATCCCACATACATGACCTCATAACAAGAACAGCATGCCCCAGACTCCTCCAAGTGTCAGGTTTAATGATTACACATGTCCAGCAATCAAGCACCTTCCTGAAGTAACCATCCTCATTCAGGGTCTGAGAGTAGAACTCAATGTGCCAGAATAAGATACTGTTACAAACAGTGAGAGGTTAGAGCCGGTTAGCCATATTCTATTGAACACAGAAGACATGGTTTTGCTTGCAAGGTAAAGAGGCCACTACAATCAAGTCAAAAGACTCTGTGGAGGATATTAATACTTTCGTCTGTGTTTATCTCTCTACGTATTTGATTGTTCATGTGTCAACACTATCTACATGTATCATGTATCCGTCTCTGTGTTGCTAACACCTCAGAGCACTTTGACCTGGGGAAGAAGATCAGCGTTCCTCAGGATTTGATGATGGAAGAGCTCAACCTGCTGTCTAACAGAGGTTCCAGAATGTACCAGGAGAGGCAGAAGAGGGTGGAGAGGTTCACCTTGGAGAACGTAGCACCAGACACTCACAGGTTGGGGCCCCTCAACCCCCAGCAGCCAGACCATAGTAGTACACATAACCAGGGAGCCTCACAAGGAGGGAAGAATAATTACCACACAGAGGTCTATTTTGGACAACCAGGGAGAAACAGCCTAGTGAGATCCCTGAAGAACACAATAGCCAGTAAGGGAAACCCCAGTGTCCTGGCCCCAGGTAACTGAGTGTGAGAGAGTGTCTGTCTGTCTGTCTGTGTGATGGAAGGGGACAGGGTATTACCCCTACAATAACAATCCACCTCACCCCTCCCTCAAAGGTTACTCTGGGCCTCTGAAAGAAGTCCCTCATGAGAGGTTCAACGTCACTGTGATCCCCAAGTCCTACTGCTCCCCATGGCTGGTTCAAGACCAGCACGGTGACAGTGACAAGCTGCTGACTGCCATCTCCGCCCATCTACCTGAGCTGCCACAGAAACTCACCCCAGCCAACTACAGGTGCTTCAACAGGTGACCCCACGCTACTGGCTCTATAGGCTGCCCTTGATCACTCCCTACACTCCCACACAGCTTGTGGTTGACTAATCAAGGTGTGTGTTTTTGAGAAATACTTAAGCATCAACCTTTCAGTCCAGTCAACGAAAATTCTAGGCCTCTGGTTTCCTCCTTGGCTGGCTTCTGAAACCTCTTTATAAAAGGCTGCTGTCTGCTTGTGAAACCAGAATCTGGCACTGGCTCACACCAGACTGGGCCACTGAGTCGTGTCTATTTTAAAACACAGCGTCTGTAAGCTGATGCCCACACCACAACTCTAGAAAATACTCAAGACAGATTTATATCAAGATACAAGGGGGAATCTGTCTGCATCATTCAACTTTTTGAGATAATCTACTCACACCATGCTACCATTACCACCCACCCACTAGAGGCTTTTTGATCAGAGAGAAGCCATATTATTTAATCTGTGGTTATACTTTCGAACTGCAGATCCTGACACACCTTTATTTCTCTAGGGCCCCAATGCCATTTGGGGGGACAGCAGGTAGTGTGAGGATGTTCCCCCTGCCTGGTTTTGAGCTCCTGCAGGCCCATACTGAACCTAGTCGGACCTGGGAGAGCATGTGTGACCGGCCCAACTTCAACCGCACCCCAAGAGGTTGGGCTGCCCACTACACTGCTGAAATGGAGACTTCAGACCTCTGAGACCATGGCTGTGATCGAGAGCATCAGGGGTAACTTGTGACTGACTGATCTACAAATAATATTGAGTAGTTATTTATGATGCAAGGTGATTTGTTGATCAGTCTCGACTCTCCTGTAAAGTCGGCTTCAATGGCGAAAGCGCCCCATGACAGCTTTAGATGATGACACAGATGACCTCTTTACACTCTTAGAGACATGAACGGCAAGTCCAACTAGTGGATACTAATGTGTATCCAGCAATTTTCTTGCATGTAATTACTTTAGAAAATGATGTTCTCTCCTTGTCTTGTTCTGCCACAGCTAATTATATCAACAATTTCTTCAACCAGGTCATTCTTTATCAAGGCCACAACTTGTTAAATTATGCTAATAAAAAAAAAACATAAAAACTTTTAAAAGAAAGAAGGATAATATGTTTCATGAAGCAAAAATGTGAACGATACACTTTTCACAGTTATAATAAAACAAAGACCTTAACAATTCTATGGAGTCATGGACACCTTTATCAATCTTTAGATAATAGTGCCACCACATGGAAGGAAAATGGTCTTCATGACTGGAAGTTCTGAAGACTGTTAACGTCTGACAATTCTGCACAAAATGCATTACAGAAAAATATTGTAGAAATAGAAGTTCAAATAGTGACATTCTCTTGTATAAGAAAGGTTCAGTACAATATGCACATCTTGCAAACGTAACCCTCCCCCTTTTCAAATCTACAAACCAGAGTTAGAACATACAGGTAACTGCCAAAATAAAGGAAACACTTGATTAAATGAGGGATACAACATATTGAAAGCAGTTGCTTCCACACAAGTGTGGTTCCTGAGTTAATTAAGCAATTAACTGGCGGCATTAACTGGCGGCAGGTAGCTTAGTGGTTAAGAGCGTTGTACCAGTAACCGAAAGGTCGCTGGTTCTAATCCCCAAGCCGACTAGGTGAAAAATCTGTCGATGTGCCCTTGAGCAAGGCACTTAACCCTAATTGCTCCTGTAAGTCGCTCTGGATAAGAGCGTCTGCTAAATGACCAATTTATTTTTTATTTTTTAACTTCCCATCATGCTTAGGGTCATGTATAAAAATGCCCAGTTGACCATTATTCTGGCTATCATGGCTAGAAGAGATCTCAGTGACTTTGAAAAAGGGGTATCAAAGGAGCATAGGGGGTTTAAAGGGTATGTGTGTCTCAGTCACCAGATCTCAACCCAATTGAACACTTACGGGAAATTCTGGCGCGGCGCCTGAGCCAGCGTTTTCCACAACCATCAACAAAACACCAAATGATGGAATTTCTCGTGGAAGAATGGGTGTCACATCCCTCCAATACAGTTCCAGACACTTGTAGAATCTATGCCAAGGCGCGTTGAAGCTGTTCTGGCTCGTGGTGGCCCAACGCCCTATTAAGACACGTTGTGTTGGGGTTCCCTTTATTTTGGCAGTTACCTGTAGGCTCGATGGAGGAAGGTATAACGAATCATACTGTTCAGCACTCCCGTTTCCTAACGAGCAAGACCTTGCTGGTGGACAAACAGAGGTTCTTCTCTATTACGCTTATATAAAATAAGCATCTCAAATCTGTGAACTGTGCCTACAGTCACTGTGTCTGGGTTTTTAATAGGGTGAAATTGGTAAAACTATCACGATGTTAATCAAAATGTAATAAAATAAAATAAAAAATAAATCACTATAAACAGTGAGGTACGAGGGTCTAGGAGCCTCCGCTATGGCTGGCGTGTGCACCCATGCGCTGTGGATCCTGGGACGGGTAGTGGACATGGACAGGGGGCCTCATGCCCATGGGAGGGGGCATCCCCATGGGGTCCATGGAGTGGAACATGGGTGGCCCAAAGCCTGTAGGGATGGAAATGCCACAGGTTATAAAACCTTAGTTGGGGGGGGGGGGGGGGGTTAAAAAAAAACATGTATAACACAATGAAAATACTTTTTAACATTTGTGGTCCACTACGGGGGGGAGAATTCATGGGATTCTTGTTTTACCTGGAGGAGGGGGCATAGCCACGCCGGGGGGTGGGGGTAGGCTGATGTTCATGACAGGAGGGGCTGAGTTGGGGCCCAGGTTGAAGTAGTTGGTAGGGGTGTCTTCGTCCACAGGCGGTGGAGGTAGCGCTGCAGGACAGAGACAGAGGGTCAGTATTGACAAATCACATTACTGGAAGGGTATGGTCAAATGTGTGTGGGGGTTTTACCCACACTCAGGGGTTGAAAACAAAATTATTTTCCAATCGTTTCGTTATGAGCAGAACCATAATTTTTTTGGTTCCGTTCCACTGTTCCGACCAACAAAATAAAGTTCTGAACCGGTTCGAACCCCAAAGAAAGTACCGGTTGATATCGTTCCTTTGTTCCTTTTTAAACCCCTAAGCCAGGGCTGCCCAACCTTCTTCCTGGAGATCTACCGTCCTGTGGATTTTCAGTCCAACCCTAATTTAACACACTTGATTCTACTTATTAGCTGCTCAACAAGACCTTAACTAGCTGAATCAGATACGCTAAATTAGGGTTGGACTGAAAACCTACAGGACGGTAGATCTCCAGAAAGAGGGTTGGGCAGCCCTGCCCTAAACCATAAAATGACTTCACCAATTAGTGCAGATAGAGTAGCTTGCTATGGAGCGGGTAAGCTATTTAAATCAGTATAGGAAATAAATCGTATTTTGCCATAACAGCATGATGTGTTATTCAGTATGGTTTAATCATGAAAGACAAACCCACATACACAGTGCTGCCAGTTACAGTGTAGGGCGCGAGATGCAACTGGCATTTTGCGAGAGAGGATGGAGGAAGCTTACCTTGAAGTGCTGGGCATCTTATGACATGCATTATCTGAATTAGGCCCACAGAATTATACCTACGGAGGAGGGGCTTCTATTGAGGAACTTTGGATGTCTTTAAACTTCCGAGTTGGTTTAACGTTGGACCAGAGCAACCTTTAGCTCGCTAGCTAACAAGCTTGTGTGTGCCGAGCAGCACTAGAATTAAAAAACACATCTTACCTTTCTGTAGTTAATAAATCCAACGTGAAACATAACTATAGTATCCTTAACTAGCATTGAAAAAGTTGATCCATTCTTTTAAACATCATGCTTGTAATGTCGTCAGTAGGCTACAGTAACCTATGCTTCAGAGGGGAGGGGCAGGTAGCCTGCACACACACAGGCAAAGATGTTCAGCTGGCAGGCAGACACTGGAATATATTTCTGAGTGACAGAGTGAGGGTTTTGCATAGGCGCTTTGTTGCGATTTTTGTGGGAATGGAAAAAAATGTCCGTAATAGAACGTTATTAACAGGTCGCCATGCATAAACATGTTCAGCATCTCCAGGCCTCCACACACACAGTGGCTATAGAAAGTAACCACCCACTTTCAAAATGTTCACCTTTTGTTGCCTTACAGCCTGAAATGAAAACACATAAAATCAGACTTTTTCCAGCTTTATTTACACACAGTAACTCACAATATCCAAGTGGGATAATTTTTTATTTTATTTTTAACTCTGAAACTGTAGTCTCTTTGAACACGTCTCTAACTTTGCACACCTAGAATTTGCTACATTTGCCCATTCTTCCTTGCAGAATTGTTCAAGCTCAGTCAAATTGCATGGTGACGGCTCATGGACTGCACTCTTCAAGTCATTCCACAGATTCTCGATGGGATTTAGTTCAGGGCTCCGACTAGGCCACTCAAGGACATTCACCTTCTAGTCCTTCAGCTACTGTACGGTTGCTTTGGCGGTGTGCTTTGGGTCATTGTCATGTTGAAACGTGAACCATCTTCCCATTTTCAGCTTCCTGGCAGAGGGCTGCAGGTTCTCCTCATGAATCTGTCGGTATTTTGCACTGTCCATTTTCCCTTCTATCCTGACAAGTGCTTCAGTCCCTGCTGAAGAGAAACACTCCCACAACAGGATGCTGCCACCGCCGTGCTTTACTGTAGGCATGGTGTTCTTTGGGTGGAAAGACATATTGGGTTTTCGCCAGACATATCGTTTTGCGTTCAGGCCAAAAAGTTCAATTTTGGTCTCATCTGACCACAGCATATTTTGCCACTTGGCCTCGGAATCTACAATGCGCTTTTTGGCAAAGCTCAAACGAGACTTGATGCTGCCTTTTTTGAGGAGTGGTTTTTTTCTTGCCACCCTCCCATAGAGGCCAGATTTGTAGAGCGCTTGTGATATTGTGGTCACATGCATGCATACATTGACCAGCCTTTGCCATAAAGGCCTGAAGCTCCTTCAAAGTCGCCATTAGCTTCTTGGTAGCCTCTCTGATTGGTCTCCTCCTTGCCCGGTCATCCAGTTGAGGGACGGGCTGATCTATGCAGGGTCTGTGTGATGTCATACGCCTTCCACTTCTTAATAATGGTCTTAACTGTGCTCCGAGGGATAGACAAAGCCTTTGAAATCTTTTTATATCCATCCCCTGACTTGTGCCTTTCCACAACTTTATCTCGTAGATCTTTTGAAAGTACGTTTCCGCCCATAGTGGATTATTTTCTTTGAATTGCACTACTAAGCAGTGGAGTCCTCTATGAACAACTGCTTTTATTCTGAACTAATCAAAGTCACTACAATTGATCACAGATGGAAGCCAATTAGCTGGATTTTTCTATCTGGAAGGTGGTTGGTTATACCTCAGCAAGTTTGCAATTGCAATTCTAAAGGGGGGTGTTCACTTATCCAAATAGGGTATTTTACGGTTTGAATTTTAATTACTTTTCGGAGTAAAAAAAAAAAAGCTTTCACTTGGATATTGTGGGTTACTGTGTGTAAATAAAGCCGGTAAAAGTCTGATGTTATGTGTTTTCATTTCAGGCTGTAAGGCAACAAAAGGTGAACATTTTGAAAGGGGGTGGTGACTTTCTATACAGTTGTGGTCAAAAGTTGAGAATGACACAAATATTAATTTTCACAAAGTCTGCTGCCTCAGTTTTGATGATGGCAATTTGCATATACCCCAGAATGTTATGAAGAGTGATCAGATTAACTGCAATTAATTGCAAAGTCCCTCTTTGCCATGAAAATGAACTTAATCCCAAAAAAAACATTTCCACGCATTTCAGCCCTGCCACAAAAGGACCAGCTGACATCATGTCAGTGATTCTCTCGTTAACACAGGTGAGAGTGTTGATGAGGACAAGGCTGGAGATCACCCTGTCATGCTGATTGAGTTAGAATAAGACTGGAAGCTTTAAAAGGAGGGTGGTGCTTGAAATCATTGTTCTTCCTCTGTTAACCATGGTTACCTGCAAGGAAACACGTGCCGTCATCATTGCTTTGCACAAAAAGGGCTTCACAGGCAAGGATATCGCTGCTAGTAAGATTGCACCTAAATCAACCATTTATCGGATCATCAAGAACTTCAAGGAGAGAGGTTCAATTGTTGTGAAGAAGGCTTCAGGGCGCCCAAGAAAGTCCAGCAAGCGCCAGGACCGTCTCCTAAAGTTGATTCAGCTGCAGGATCGGGGAACCACCAGTGCAGAGCTTGCTCAGGAATGGCAGCAGGCAGGTGTGAGTGCATCTGCACGCACAGTGAGGCGAAGACTTTTGGAGGATGGCCTGGTGTCAAGAAGGGCAGCGAGGAAGCCACTTCTCTCCAGGAAAAACATCAGGGACAGACTGATATTCTGCAAAAGGTACAGGGATTGGACTGCTGAGGGCTGGGGTAAAGTCATTTCCTCTGATGAATCCCCTATCAGATTGTTTAGGGCATCCGGAAAAAAGCTTGTCCAGAGAAGACAAGGTGAGCGCTACCATCAGTCCTGTGTCATGCCAACAGTAAAGCATCCTGACACCATTCATGTGTGGGGTTGCTTCTCAGCCAAGGGAGTGGGCTCACTCACAATTTTGCCTAAGAACACAGCCATGAATAAAAAAAGGTACCAACACATCCTCCGAGAGCAACTTCTCCCAACCATCCAAGAACAGTTCGGTGACGAACAATGCCTTTTCCAGCATGATGGAGCACCTTGCCATAAGGCAAAAGTGATAACTAAGTGGCTCGGGGAACAAAACATCTACATTTTGGGTCCATGGGCAGGAAACTCCCCAGACCTTAACCCCATTGAGAACTTGTGGTCGATCCTCAAGAGGTGGGTGGACAAACAAAAACGCACAAATTCTGACAAACTCCAAGCATTGATTATGCAAGAATGGGCTGCCATCAGTCAGGATGTGGCCCAGAAGTTAATTGACAGCATGCCAGGGCGGATTGCAGAGGTCTTGAAAAAGAAGGGTCAATACTGCAAATATTGACTCTTTGCATAAACTTAATGTAATTGTCAATAAAAGTATTTGACACTTATTGAATGCTTGTAATTATACTTCAGTATACCATAGTAACATCTGACAAAAATATCTAAAAACACTGAAGCAGCAAACTTTGTGAAGACCAATAAATGTGTCATTCTCAAAACTTTTGACCACAACTGTACAAGCCGCTAATGCACGCCTTTGGAACATCTAAATTTTAAAAAGTCTAATAAATCAATTGAATATACACCATCACAATAAATCCATTATTTATTTTAGGCAGGTCTAAAGAAACATTATGATATGAAGAAAATGTATTTCAGAAGAACAGAATATGAGTTGGCCTACTGTATGTTATCTGGCTATGCTCCATGCCATAGGCTGTAGGCTTGTTCATTTAGCTGACAAGATATGCTTATAAGTCCCGTGCCATTCTTTTATATTATAGTAAGAAGAATGTAATTAAATTTAGCTGTATAAAATATAAAATATATTTTTCCCATTCTGGAGCGAGAATGTGTGCATACGAAGTGGCTATGTTGAGCGTAAAAGTGATCATTTGAAACAGGTCCTATACTCTAGATTTAGAGTTATCCGGCAACTTTAGTTGTGAATGATACAAACCTTAGAATGTCTTAGAAATCAAAACATTTATGAGCTGCATGATGCGACTACAGGCTATTGATGATTTGAGAAAGTCGAGAAAAAAAAAAAAAAAGCGTGTGCTCTGTTCCTTGCCTCAGGCTGCACACACTGCTCTCTCATCAAGTGATTTTCACCCATCAGACTATTCTCGATTTAATCTTGTCTTTACTAATATGTAAACATATTTTCAATTTAGAATGTCCCATTATCAAATGGGCAGGAACAGAGGCAAGACAAAAAATACATGTCATCTGAATGTACTGGAATAGCGAATGGAGGCCACTTTCCCACTGGTACATGTTTTACTCATGTCGGGTAGGCTACTCTGCAGGTGATGTTCTGCCCAAACTGTTTGCCATGGGCTCTTCAAACATGTTCCTGCAGCTACCCAGTGCTTAATTTGGAAAACCAAGTGAAATCTGTTCCGGAACATCGATAGTAACATGTTTTCACAACAAAACATATTTCATTAAACGGTTGACAGCCCTTCTCTCTGCACGCTGGAGGAAGAAATGAAGGAGTGGAGGAGATGGAAACTCACAGTGGTGGGATATTCTGTAGCTAAAAGGTAATGTGTCAGCCTATTAATTATGAAAATATAAAACAATGCCCTATTAATCTGCTATTCAAAATCAACTACAAATTAACTATATTTTTAGGCTAAATTTTACATTTACATTTTTAGTCATTTAGCAGACGCTCTTATCCAGAGCGACTTACAGTTAGTGAGTGCATACATATATATATATATATATTTTTTAATCATACTAAATCTTAATTTATGCTAGACCAATAATGTTCCAAAGATATCTCAAATCAGTATTTTTTTATGCCGTGTGTAATATGTGGTAGGATATGTATTTTATAACAGCGCAATCATTATTTTAATTCAGGTTTTTTTAGGGGTGGGGCTTGGGCTCATTTAGAGGCCTATGCATAAGCTCTAATATGCATATAGTGTTTTTAATTAATTGTCACCTTAGAAAGCGCTGTCCATTTCGTTGTGTTAGGCTTTGAAATGACACCCACAAGGACCATGTTTCCCACTCAGTTTCAACCTGTTGTTGAACTTCTTTCTTCAAATTAATCAATCACAGTGAGGTGAGTTTTAAAAGCACATACTGTTTTGATAAGTGGTTGATGTGATTTCAATTGCATTGATGTCAGTGGTTAGAGGGACAATAGAGCCCTGAGCACCAGGCCATTAGCAACCTGATGATCGCTAGCCAGTTCGGTACTACTAATCAAATCACATTTTATTTGTCACATGCGCCGAATACAACAGGTGTAAACCTTACCGTGAAACGCTTACAAGCCCTTAACCAACAATGCAGCTCAAGAAATAGAGTTAAGAAAATATTTACCATATAAACTAAAGTAAAACATAAAATAAGAAGTCCAGAGTGCATAAGAGCAGATTACCGTGACCGAGTCACATAGAATTTTACTGCGGTCATGACTCATGACTGCCCGTGTGGCGGTAATACGGTCACCGCAACAGCCCTAGTTCCTTTCTCCTAGCCTCCTTCTCAAACCCCATTGGAGGAGGTATGAGGTCCCTCATCTTCTGAACTTCTCATCTAATGGGTTTTGAGGAGGAGGTGGTGAGGACAGAGGTAGCTAGGAATCAAGGAAATGCGTTTGAGATTCTCCCAGTGTATAGCTCTCACCTCCAGGTAGACCAGGAACCGGCTCCAGCTTCAGCCCCATCTCAGTCAGCCCTCCTCCCCGTCCCTCTTTCCCCCCTCTCCCGTCCCTCCTTCCCCCCTCTCCCTGGGACCTGGAACAGAATAACACACAGTCAATCCATCACATCAATTCATGTCACACTGGAGGTGTTTTTACTTGTAATATCTGTGATAACAGAGAAATCAATCAACAGAAGAACAGGTACCTGATGCCACAGCCATCTGTCACTAGTATTAGGAACCACAGGTGGAAGTGTATGAGACTGTCATATCACAGGATGGTACTTTACCTGCCCCACTTGACGTTGAGCCTACGACCGTTTATAATGAGCTTGTTGAAGGACTTCTCAGCAGCCAACTCTGCAGCCTGGCGGGTGGCAAACTGGATGAAGGCACACTGCTGCCTCTGAACGATGGTGGTGGTCCGGATCTCCCCGAACTGGTAGAAATGGTTCCTGTTGGGAGGCAAGCAGTTATATTGGCTCATTCATCCCCCCTCCTCTCCCCTGTAACTATTCCACAGGTCGTTGCTGTAAATTAGAATGTGTTCTCAATCAACTTACCTGGTTAAATAAGGGTTCAATAATAAAACATATATATAGCCCAACTGTAGTACTGTCCGTTGACAACATTCAGCAATGCACACTGGATTAAATTCTGCTTCATTTGGAGTAAAACTGTACTAATTTCGGGCAGGCACTCACCTGAGCTCCAAGTCTGTGATGGAGTCTCCGAGCCCCCCCACGTACAGCGTAGTGATGGACTTGTCCTCTGGAGTGTCCAGTCTCGGCATGGTGGAGGCTCTCTTCAGCAGTTTGTCAGCCACAGGGTCGTTGATACCATAGTAACGGTCCTTAATGTTCTGGTCTGCCAGGGGATCGTCTGGATCAGTTGGCTTCTCGTGCCTGGAGTTCAGTAGGTCACAGATAATGAGAGTTAAAGCAACACGTCAGTCAACATCTTAGATGATAACCAGACCTGTGCCACTGAATTTACTTTTTCCATTGGCTCATAAGTCAACAAATTGCCTGATGTTTAACATGTGTCACGTCTTTCTTTGCACCTATGGTTTCATGATGTTGACAGTTGCTCACCTGTAAGGACACTCCTCTCCTCTCTTACATTCTCCCTTCACCCAGAAGGAGCAGATGTGTGGTCTGTTCCTCTTGTAGTAAGGCGTGGTGCGGGCTAGCTTCAGCAGCATGTCACTAGAGCTGGGGGCCTTACCCAGGAGACCCACCGGCCGTGTACCATCAGAGTTCCCTATCTGCAGTCAGGAGAGAGCTACTGTCAAAGGGACGCATTTTACACCCATTTAAACCATTTAATTTAACTGAAATAATTATGAATGACCTGGCCATGGAAGGTACACAACTCAGACCAGAGGACCAAAGACCAGATATTTCTGGGTGGTCCTGATAAATAAGTCATGTGACATCTGGTGAGTAAACATTGTCTGGAATCTTCCCAAGGGAAAATGAGAAGGGTCAAAGGGCGCTATCTGAACCCTCGGCATGAACACACTGTTAGGATATTTGCAAGCAGAATTAGGCTAGATGACAGAATGTAAACATTGATCTGTCTGGTAATATTACTGCCACCACACAATTAGAAGTTTACGCATGGGACTCAGATCATAATGTTAACAATGACCTTTGATCTTCTTTGTCACCAAAGCCCCATATACTACCCACCACTGTGACCTGTACGCTCTTGTTGGCTGGCCCTCACTACATATTCGTCGCCAATCCCACTGGCTCCAGGTCATCTATAAATCACTGCTAGGCAAATCCCCACCTTATCTTAGCTCACTGGTCACCATAGCAACACCCACCCGTAGTCTGCGCTCCAGCAGGTATATCTCACTGGTCATCCCCAAAGCCAACACCTCCTTTGGCCGCCATTCCTCCCAGTTAATGCTAATGACTGGAACGAACTGAAAAAATCTCTGAAGCTGGAGACTCTTATCTCCCTCACTAACTTTAAGCATCAGTTGTCAGAGCACCTTACCGATCACTGCACCTGTACACAGCCATTCTGAAATTAGCCCACCCAACTACCTCATCCCCATATTATTTATTTTGCTCATTTGCACCCCAGTATCTCTATTTGCACATCATCTTCTGCACATCTATCATTCCAGTGTTAATACGAAATTGTAACTATTATGCACTATGGCCTATTTATTGCCTTACCTCCATAATTTACTACAGTCGCACACACTGTATATATATTTTCTGTTGTATTTTTGACTTTATGTTTTGTTTACCTCATATGTAACTGTGTTGTTTTTAAATCGCACTGCTTTGCTTTATCTTGGCCAGGTCGCAGTTGTAAATGAGAACTTGTTCTCAACTGGCTTACCTGGTTAAATAAAGGTTAAATAAAAAAAATATTTAAAAAAATAAGGGAAAATACATCACCTCTCTTTCCATGTTCTGAGTGTAGTATTCCTTGTTCACATCTGATTTCGGCACGTCGTCCTTGATTGACAGCCCAGTGTCTCGGACCTGTATTGGCAAGCCTAGACGAAGGAGTAATTAACATTTTAACAGCCACCCTGAACTTGTCGGTCGTGCAATATCTCATTTTTTATACAACTCTGTGTGTGTAGTCATTCTCTAGATGGTACAGACATAACCTGGCCCAGAGGATGACTGTTCCAAATCCTGTTCTTGTTGACTCACCATACTCTAGATCCAGCAGGCAGGTCTGACAGACATTCTTTATCTTACTGCATGTCTGGCAGGCCTCTGTCTTCTTGAAGCGCATACGGGTCCCAGGACACCATCGGAACACGGTGAAGGGTCTGGCACATATCTAAGCAGGACATAGCGGAAGCAGGTCAGTCAAGGTTTAGATTGCACAGTGGCATACTCTATAGCAGGGTTCTCTACTTATGCGCAGGTTTTCTTTCCAGCCCAGCACTAGCCAACACAAATAAATCAACTAGTGGTGGTCCAGATTAAATACCTTCAATAGCTAAGTTGTTGTATCAGATCTGGGCTGGAACAAAGGATTACACACACAGTATCTCCTCAGAACCTATGTGGGAGAACTCTGCTATATGTGTAACTGTGACTGATTAATCCAATTGAGCATTAATGCACTTGTGAATTTCTTACCTTGCACTCCTTGCCATACTTCTCCTTGGTCTAGCAAAAATAAACAGATTGTGATACAGGATGAGTACTTGTTTTGAGTAACCATATCTAGAAGAACATGTCAATCAAAATAGCAAGATTCAGCTACATGGATATGCATTTAGCAAAAAGATGGTTAGCTCCTAGCTCTCGAAAACTCTGGGCGGACTTCTGCCTTCTCCTACAGTTCTCAGCCATTAGCTTCGACCATGACTGGCTCATGTGAGCTACAATACCGACACTGTGTTTTAACGGTTAGAAACGTCAATCATTGCTTGGGATATAGCCCTTATCTTTCATCTGCGAGAATAAAAAATATTTCTAATAAAAATATGTACTTATTGTAGCGGTTTTGCGCAAATCCATACAGCTACGGGTGCCTCCATCTGACAAACTACACTTCTGCTGCACTTCCCGAGTTACGCTTATACACAGGTGTTTGGCGCATGTTAGCACAGGTGGTCGCCTCTTGTCTTCCATCTCCAAACATGGATATAAATCAAATCAAATTTTATTGGTCACATGCGCCGAATACAACAGGTGCAGACATTACAGTGAAATGCTTACTTACAGCCCTTAACCAACAGTGCATTTATTTTAAACAAAAAAAGTAAAAATTAAAACAACAACAACAAAAAAAAGTGTTGAGGAAAAAAAAGAGCAGAAGTAAAATAAAGTGACAGTAGGGAGGCTATATATACAGGGGGGTACCGTTGCAGAGTCAATGTGCGGGGGCACCGGCTAGTTGAGGTAATATGTACATGTGGGTAGAGTTAAAGTGACTATGCATAAATAATTAACAGAGTAGCAGCAGCGTAAAAAGGATGGGGTGGGGGGGCAGTGCAAATAGTCCGGGTAGCCATGATTAGCTGTTCAGGATTCTTATGGCTTGGGGGTAGAAGCTGTTGAGAAGTCGTTTGGACCTAGACTTGGCACTCCGGTACCGCTTGCCGTGCGGTAGCAGAGAGAACAGTCTATGAAGGTGTGTATCAATTTAACCTTTTGTTTTTTGACAATTATTCATCACTGATATAAAACAGATCCTTCTGCTTCCAAAATCGTACCTCAAGCAATGCATGTTAATGTTCAGAACGAGCGTCGGGGATCTTAAAACTTCCCCCTACAGAAGACGCCCTTCGTCCAATGACTTATGTTATGTGTAATGTAATTGAACGAAGAGTCATGATCAATGGCTAGTTAACTTGAGAACATTAACCCGAAGTCAGAGAATTGATTAAACGTACCATTCGAATATAAGGATTCTCTCCAAGACATGTCTGGCAGAGAATGGGAAAATCCTGTAGAAGAGAAGATGGAAACAAAACAATTAACTAACGCGTTAACTAGTTACAGTAGCTACTAGTAACGTAGCTAGCTAAGGGGTTAGCTAACGATAAAGCTCAAATCTGATATTTTACGAATTAACTAGCTAACTAGATACTTTGAATAATCGATTAAATAGTTCAAGAACATTAAATGTTTAGCTACGTAGCTGTGATGTTTACTTTATTTTGCTAATTATTAAAAGGTCAACGACTTAGCTAGCTAGAAACCATATCTGATTTGTAGCTAGCTAGCTAAGCGAGCTCACAGGAAAACACTTAACGTATCTCTAGTAAGTTACCACTGCTTATTGACACAATCAATGTCGCAGAATAACAATTACACATTACATTTTCCTTTCAGATTAACAGAAAAATATCATTTAAAACATACCGCGTCTTCCCAATTCTGTCTATTGTAAGTGTTAGCTCCTAAAGATGTCGCCATTTTCGAAATCCTCCGTCAGCGTCTTCCTGGTAATCACTAGTTACCACAGTCACAAAGTCATAAACCCCGCCTATTTCTAAAATGTGTCTTCTTCAAATCTGATCTTAAACCTACCCTAACCTTTAAACTAAACCGAAAGCACTTTTTGTTATATTTTAAATAGCCAATAGGACTTTTGTGTAGTAACTATTTTTGAACCAATAGGTTATATATACGTAGATACACTAGATGAGTGTTTGGGGGCGTTGTGTTGAAGCCACCGTGCTTCCATCTTGGCAATCCTCCACATTTTACATTAGCATTAGCAGACGCTTATCCAGAGCACTTTGTTAGTGAATACATATTTTTTTACTGGCCCACCGTGGATCGAACCACAACCCGCATTGCAACGCCATGCTCTATCAATGACTACATCCCTGCGGCCATTCCCTCCCCTACACTGGAACCTGGGCCAATGGACCGCCCATGATCTCCTGGTCGCGGCCGGCTGCGACAGAGCCTGGATTCGAACCAGGATCTAGTGGCACAGTTAGCACTGCGATGCAGTGCCTTAGACCACTGCGCCACTCCACCGTCGTAAAGCATAATTTGGAAGCTATAGAAATGCATTTGTTAATGTCTACATTCGTTTTTGCTACATTTATTCTAAAACAGACACCTTAATGCATGCTTTTAAATTATATTATGTGAGCTAAACATACAGTAGTACATAACATTTTCCTCAAGTATAATCTTTTAGAGATTACTAATGTTACTGTCCCCACTACAACAACAAAAAACTTAACTACATGTAATTTTGTCCTTTAAACATTTAATTGAAATACTGTAGAATTCAGTTTATTCCTATGGAGAACTGCTCCTCCTACTCCTTCTGCCAATATGGCAGACTGTTGGCTTCAAAGCCTCTCAATGGCCAATAAATAGCTACAGCAATCCAGGGTTTATATACATCGTTGGTGAAAACCCTTCTTCTTCTTTTTTCTTCTTCTTCTTCGTCTATGGTATTATGGTGGTCCGCATACATACAAGGTGCATGCCGCCACCTACTGTGTGGGCTGTGTCTGCCTACTGTCCTGGAGTGTGAATTCATTACACTTCGTCACACAAAAATGGGAGGGGCAAAAAAGGACAGGGAAAAGGGAATAAAAAATTGCCCTACCAACACAGGACAGGGTTTCCCAAACTCAGTCCTGGGGACCCCAAGGGGTGGACATTTTGGTTTTTCCCCTTGCACTACACAGCTGATTCAAATAAACAACTCATCATCAAGCTTTGATTATTTGAATCAGCTGCGTAGACAGTGCTAGGGCAAAAACCAAAATGTCCACCCCTTGGGGTCACCAGGACCGAGTTTGGGAAACCCTGTCCTACACCCATTAAAACTTCACCACTATTCCACTACTTTGGCCCTATCTGATCCTAGTCCCGTGTAGCTCAGTTGGTAGAGCATGGCGTTTGCAATGCCAGGGTTGTGGGTTCGGTTCCCACGGGGGGCCAGTATGAAAATGTATGCACTCACTTAACTGTAAGTCGCTCTGGGTAAGAGCGTCTGCTAAATGACTAAAATGTAAAATGTACCTCAGGCCGGCGGCCTGGGAGGACGGGACACTTTCGTTCAACACACCTTGTAATTATTCTGCAGTTAAACCTCGTACACCCAAGTACTTCTCTGCAGCTGCCACCACAACATCTATTTTCTGTGATTTATGTTTAATTTCTGCAGTAGAGTTGATAACCATGGCTATGAACACTAAGAAGCCAACCTTACTGAAGCACGTTATTCCTATGAGTCTCTATTGGCCTCGGCCTACTCACAATTGTCATCTTCAACCTAGCTCACAGGGACCCATCTTCCTCTACTACTCTCTTCACTGCCTCAGCATACGACACCTTCTGTACTACTCTGACCCTGGCTCAGCGTCTTCCTAGCATGCACTGCAGCAAAAAAGCATTCTCAAGTGATCAGACCAAAACACACACACACCTTCATACATTGTCTACAGTCATTGACACACACAAACACACACACCACACAGACAGCTTTATAAAAGTGTATAAATATTATTTCAGAGTGGAAACAACATCTTCAACAATCATCTGTGGATCATTTTATTGTGTATGGTGAATAATTCTACCCGCATGCTTGTGTGTATATATAGGGGTGGTTCATTGAGGAAAGGGTAATTTACCCCCAGTCTCTCAGGTGATGATTAGGAGCATGGCCTGAGCTGAGGTTAAAGATGGCCTACTATTATAATTTTTAATAAGTATTTGGCACATTTTCACAAATCTAAGACAAACAGATCATCAAAACGGCTCGTGTTTCACAACTCTAAGCACATTTTCAATTCACTGAGTACAACAAAAATAATTCACAGTCACTTGTTCACTGAACCAAATCACTTTTTCAATTTGGATACATATTCAATCTAAGTATCTGCTTTTCAAAATGCAATATTTACTTTACTTTTGATATGATTTTCTTGTCATTTCTTAACAATACTATTACTTAGTCAAACTTCTCAAAACTGTTAACTACTTAACCAAAATATGTAGTGCCTAGTTAAAGTATATAGTTTGATAACTGCTGAACACTGTAAATGTCTATATTTTTACCTCATAAATGCATCAATTTGACATCAATTTATTTTGAAAGGTAAAACCAAATGGATTTGGCTGTAAATACTACATCATCATTCTCCATCAGCCAGTGTGCTTCAATAGTTCATAGTTTAAGTGTACAGTGCACTGCTGAAATAACTGGTTTGTATATAACAATATATTCCACTCATTATCTGAATTTCATTGATACACTGTAAACTGATTAATTTTGTCAAGCAGAGAGACAGGCGATACTGTATCAGTTGACAAGTCACATAGAAAAGGTGATCTTGTACAATGTTGCATGGGGCAGAAATGGCATACAACACTGTGCTAAGTTTGTACAATAGCCAACTGCATTACAGCACCCCTATTTCCGATGAGTTGTATAAAGATAATGAAACTGTAAGACTGACATATTTCTCAACATGCTCACAACCTGCCATTGGATATAAAAATGTGTATGTCAAGTTATAGTCAAATACTGTACGGAAAATTATATTTACCATCCACTATTATTTATATTCAGCACTTAAAAAATAACAGTTTTGAAATGTGTATCTTGTATTTTTCGCTATTGGATAAAAATGTGTTTCGAAATATGTTTTATTGTCACATACACCGGGTAGGTGCAGTGGAATGTGTTGTTTACTAAACAAAATGTACTCATGGTATTTCACTGAATTTTACTCAGGGGTGAAAGATGTGTGAAACCCCAATGAATGCACAATCAAAGGTTCTGAACATAAGATAGGTGGCATTGCAAGTGTCAGTTTAGTGTTATAAGAAAATATACCACTTACATCTGAACATTTTGCCAAAGTGATTGAAAACCCCCCGAATGTGAGGCCATGAGAATAACCAAGATTAGGGATCAACACACTAATGGCGATATACAGTTCATTCGGAAAGTATTCAGACCCCTTGACTTTTTCCACATTTTGTTACGTTACAGCCTTATTCTAAAATTAATTTCCAATTTATTTTCTCAGCGATCTACACACAATACCCCATAATGACAAAGCGAAAACAGGTTTTTATTACAAATAAAAACAGAAACTACTTATTTACATAATTATTCTGATCCTTTGCTATGAGACTCTAAATTAATCTCTGGTGCATCCTGTTTCCATTGATCATCCTTGAGATGTTTCTACAACTTGATTGGAGTCCACCTGTGGTAAATTCAATTGATTGGACATAATTTGGAAAGGCACACACCTGTCTATATAAGGTCCCACAGTTGACAGTTGCATGCCAAAGCAAAAACCAAGCCATGAGGTCAAAGGAACTGTCCATAGAGCGCCAAGACAGGATTGTGTAGAGGCACAGATCTGGGGAAGGGTACCAAAACATTTCTGCAGCATTGAAGGTCCCCAAGAACACAGTGGCCTCCATCATTCTTAAGTGGAAGAAGTTTGGAACCACCAAGACTCTTCCTAGAGCTGACTGCCCGGCCAAACTGAGAAATAGGGGAGAAGGGCCTTGGTCAGGGAGGTGACCAAGAACCCGATGGTCACTCTGACAGAGCTCCAGAGTTTCTCTGCGGTGATGGGAGAACCTTCCAGAAGGACAACCATCTCTGCAGCACTCCACCAATCAGGCCTGAATGCCAAGCGTCATGTATGGAGAAAACCTGGCACCATCCCTACGGTGAAGCATGGTGGTGGCAGCATCATGCTGTGGGGATGTTTTTCAGCGGCAGGGAGACTAGTCAGGATTGAGGGAAAGATGAACGGAGCAAAGTACAGAGAGATCCTTGATGAAAACCTGCTCCAGAGCGCTCAGGACCTCACACTGGGGCGACAGTTCACCTTCCAACAGGACAACGACCCTAAGCACACAGCCAAGACAACGCAGGAGTGGCTTCAGGACAAGTCTCAATGTCCTTGAATAGCCCAGCCCGAGCTCAGACTTAAACCTGATCG